TTTTTTTTTGTGCTCAACGGTCAAGGGTAGTGAAGTTTTAATCTAGAACATAGTCGATCTTCTTGTTTTTGTTCAATTACAGATGAATGTGGAAAAACTACAGAAGATGGCCGGTTCGGTCCGCACCGGTGGAAAGGGTACCATGAGAAGGTTTGTATTTGATTGTGTTATTTTTTTTTCTTGTAATCTAGGTAATAAACTTTTGCTAATTTTCCAGATGATAAGTTATTGCAGAAGAGAAGTACCGTTATTAAGTGACATGAAAACTATCCTATAGGCTATTACAAGTGTTTCGTAATTGATATGTTCCTTGGGTTGCAGAAAGAAGAAGGCCGTCCACAAGACGACCACGACTGATGACAAAAGGCTTCAGAGCACCTTGAAGAGAATAGGTGTAAATGGCATACCTGCAATCGAGGAAGTTAATATTTTCAAGGATGATTCCGTTATCCAGTTTGTTAACCCAAAAGGTACTATCCCTGCTGCTGGAATTGCAAATTTCTTTCATTTGTTTGTTTGTACTTAATATCCGTGTTCTTTTCTTTGTTGTTTTTCCAGTTCAAGCCTCTATTGCTGCCAACACCTGGGTTGTAAGTGGTACTCCTCAGAACAAGAGTAAGTATTGCTTTCTCAACCCCCAATGTCCTCCAAATAGCTATCACAGTCGATGTATTGTTTTCTGTTTTCTGTTACTTGCCTTTTCCTTTTGTTTCTGATAAAATTTTGAAAGACCATAATGTTGATTCCTCTTTTGTTTTATTTTTTTCATGTTGACTAGTTAACGCTTTGCTTTATATATTTTGCAGAGCTGACAGATATTCTTCCTTCCATTATTCACCAATTGGGTAAGTGTAATTTCTCTTTGCTTTTGCATATTTGTTTTGTTCCAATTCTGCATGATCTTATGTGATGAAAAATTCTCAGGTCCGGATAACTTGGAGAATTTGAAGAAATTGGCCGAACAATTCCAGAAGCAGGGTCCCACTGTTGCAGGTGGTGGCGCCACATCTGGTGAAAGTGGGCCACAAGTAGTTGATGATGATGATGAGGTGCCTGAGCTTGTTGCTGGCGAGACGTTCGAAGCTGCTGCCGAGGAGAGCGAGACCCAAAAGGCATCTTAAATTCAATGGCTCCTTCAATTTTTGTACCCGATGCCTCTATCAAGTGTTTTCGAAAATCTTTTAGTATATGATGGACCCATAAAAATTCTGGTTCCATTTGCTTTTCGTTGGTTAATATTCCATATTCATAAGGGCTCTTTGCGCTTTGTATTTTAGCCACGCTCGGCCGAGTTGTCTTGAAAACTTGTGGTCGTGAGAGTATGTGTGGGTCCAATGAGAGTGGTTAGTAGTAAGAAGGAAGTGGCTAAGAGTAGCTCTTTCCTGGTTGTCCTAGATTTTGTGGTTTTTGTGTTGTAAAATGTTGTTTTAACATTTTTTTTTTTTTTTGGTCAAGTTTGTGCCCCATGGTTTGGTTCCAAGGGCCTTTTAAATTCAAATTTTTGCTTGGTTGAAGGCCATTTAATGATGCATATTTCTCACAATATTTTTTTCACTTGATGTAGGGTGTGATATATCATATATAAGTTGCTCGGGTGAATTGGTCCCATTTAGCTTGAGTAAATCGGTCCTATGAGTAGATGGTTAAAGTTCGATTTGATTAGCTTGGACATGATTAGCTTGGACAGTATAGTATGTGTTCGTGAAATAGATTTCACTCGGGTTCCTTCAACTTGGACGGTCTCCGTACCTGCAAGAACCCAATGCCGAGAGGGGTCTCGGCCTCCGGCCTCCGACGCTCAAGTCAATATAACTCCAAAACTCTAAATTCTAAGAGAGTAATTATGCATGTAGATAGAGTAAGAGAATGAGATACCTTGGCCCTCTTTTATAGGGAAAGTGTACCTTATGGCCTAAGTTGGGTTTATCCAATTCCATCATGGCACGTGTCCTTGGCCCCCTTTTATAGGGGAAGTGTACCTTATGGCCTAAGTTGGGTTTATCCAATTCCATCAAGGCACGTGTCCTACCTCATGTGTAGGTTTATTCTTCAACATATTCCTTTATTCTCCATTAAAATCGTTCTAGTATAATATCCTATATCAGTATGCTAGTAGCTCAGCTCATGGAGATGTCTGCAGTATGAGTTACGTGTATTGGCAGTATATTTTTAGTATATGTTTTTCTCTGTCTGTGCTTCGTGTGTTTCTCATCTGGTCGTGCTTTATTTGTTTTTATTCAATTGATAGGAATGTAATTCTTTGATTGTCTGAAGATTTTGGTTTTTATTTGGGATCGCCCTATTGTGATCCATGGTGGTTTTGAGTTTGTAATAGAGGTGTTTAATCGTTATCTTTTACCTGTTGCATCTGGTTTCATTGATAGTGTGTGCTACTGTTTGTTTCCCACACACTTCTGATGTTATGAGTAGTTTATGATATATATATATATATATATATATATATATATCCAAGTTATGATAGGATGTATAACTTTTTCATTACCATTGCTATTTTTATGCCTTTTCCATTCATGAACCCATTTTTTCAATTGATTGATTTTTTTTTCAAGCTACTGAGATTTGTATTTGTATCATATATTCTACATATACTAAAATAGTTTATTAA